GATGAAACGAAAACCAGGTTGCGAAAATCCAAGTTTAAGTTGGCGCGCGAAAGCTCCGCGAAAGGCGCGGCGAGTGATGGGTTTTCGGGAAAGGAATTTAGAACAGCCCCCAAGTATTCCTGCTTTCAAGTGTGATAGCCTCAATTGCGATGAATCTTGCCGGTTTGCGGTTGAAGAACCCCGTGGTTTAGGGTGGTGCTGAAGGTGCTGATGCTCGCGTCGTGCATGTATGGGCTGCGGGGTTGAAAAGATCATAAAAGCAAAACAACACTATAGCTTTTATCTCTTGTGAGTGCTTTTGGACTTCTGGCGCGCAAGCGGCTCCTTCAGCAGCTTGCGTGCACAGACGCTTCAGAGGAAAGTCCATTATCTGACTCATTTTGCCTCCCTGCACTGGTTGGCCGGCTGAGAAACATTGCAAAGGCTCGATGCAAGGCCCGCAAAAGAGAACACAAGGCTGCCGCTCTCAACCTCTGGCATCCGCACAAAAACTCAACTGACAGGTTTGGGGACAATGCAATGCATGGGGAAGGGAAAACATAGGGGTTTCAATGTTCGCGGCAAGAGAAACGCGACACTGTGCCGTTGCTGGAAAAATCGAAGGAAAATTGCGGTTCAATCCTTGACCATTTCCTAAAGCCGCCGCGGGTGTTGGTGTTAAGTACTGGCTTGCTTTCGCTGAAGGTGTTACCTGCGAAGCCAAGCATCATCATGATCCAACTTACCTGGACTACCTGATATCAAAGGCGATTCGGATGTGTTGGGCAGCTTCGCAGCTTCTTTCTACCTTTGGCTGAGCCTGGAGCTGAAACAGGTGCCGGTGGGCTCCAGCTGTTGCATTCCAACATGCGCGGCCTACAGCTGCTCCAAAGGCGCCCCTGTCAGCTGCGGGTCAGATAGCTAGTTGATTCTTCTCTCGGTCGCTATGGTCGCTGAAGGTTGGACATCAAATCCTGCTGTCGTCCAGCCCTGAGTCAGTAATTCAGCTGTATGCAGCTTCGGAACCCTCCCTTGTCTTGCAGAAGGGTATTCACTGCACGAGACCTGACCGCCCAAGGCAGTTTTGTTGAAGGGCTGCTGGAGCCGCTTGCAAGAGCCAGCAGTGCTTCCGGGCTGGTCTGCGAAACCCCGAGTGTAGTCGCCCGCGATCTTGTGAACACCAACTGACTCATCCATACAAATCCAATCCTGGGCTCATTTCAATTTCAGAGAAGATGACTGAAGTGGGACCTTCATGAGGAAATGCAGCGGTCGTGGAAGCTTCCACAGACATTTCAACTTATACTATTCAGAGAACGGGTGGCCGCACTTGGTCGGAAAACGTGACCTCAGGAGAGAGTTCCATTTTGGCATGAAATCTCGCAAGCGTGTGAAGCACCGCGACTTTTCGACTTTGTTGTTGAATCAAAATCCACCTTTCGCACAGAGCATGTTCAGCTCGAAATAATTTGCGCTCCCATGCGGAGCCTCCTCACAGTCTGGTTTTGGAACGGAGCTCTCGCACGGTGTGTCAAAACGTTTGCGCCCTTAGCTACTTAAGCAACGTGCGTCTCAAAGAAAGCAAAGCCGCAAAAAGTTCAACTTTTTTTTGGAAGTGTGGTTGTCTAGGGCTAGACAGTGCACCTTGTGCAGACCACTAGCCAGCCCAGCTCAAGACCAAACAAAACATTCTGCGTGTATCGACTCCGTTCCTTAGACTTGCTCATATTTTTGACTTTTGAATCAATAGCAGGAGCCACTTGAGCGGCTTTTTTTCTGCGCCAGTCTTCTGATAGTGTGCTGGCGACATTTGGCGACACAAAACTTGAGATCAATCTCAAGCATGTGCGCCGGACTGGCCGCGGAAGGTTCGCAGAATGGGATGGCTTGGCGAAAGGGTCACGGAAGGTGCACGCGAAATACGAATACGAATCAAGATCAGATGGCTCAGTCAGAAGGCTGCAAATATGGCGCTTAATGATAGGACAGAGATTCTCAACATCACGCGCCTGTTATGGGACAAGTACCTCGGGGGACGGATGGAACCACGAGCACAAATGCAAGACACATGATGCAGGTCGGTTTTTGAAACTCGGGAGGGGAATTCTGAGGAAGGTTGGCGGAAGACGGAGTGCAGTTTTCAAGGCCCTGGACCATGTCTGGCGTTGCAACTGCCAAAGGCTGCCAGCAGAACGTGCCAGCAGCTCGTTGCCTTGATGCCCAGGATGACCGAAGTTCTGACTCCAGCACGTCGGGCAGCAGTCTATCCTCATCCTAAAACATTGCATGACAAAAAGATATTTCGTGAAAGCGAAAAGGTTTGCGGCAGGTTCGTGGAAGCAACCATTTGCAAGGTTTTAGAGAATGAGGACACTCTGGGACGCGGAAGGTTTTTTGCGTCATAAGATTTTGAATAGAACAAAAACCACCGCTCCCTTGGGATGGGAGGATATCCCCGTTGATACCATGATGCATTAAGATACCATGTGCGCTGATGATGTCATTGGTGCCTTGTAGCAATTCCTTGACAAATGTCACTGACATGGAAGATTGATGTTGAAAGCATCTCGGAATAGAGATCTGCCAGCTTCAGCCTTGCGCTCCATATAATCCCCCCATGTGTGGCAGGTTAGCGTTTGCTGAGGCCAATTTCGTGTCAGCAGGATTGACCGACGAAGAATGCTGTCTGCCAACCTGCGCCCTACACAAGTGTGGCAAAGGCTGGTTTAACAGCCACTTGACGGAATCAACGCGTTGCTTGCTTTTGACTTGCACTGGCCGTGTGCTGGCGTCCTAAATGGGATCAGATCGAGGCACCAACCAGGGCAAGTTGATGAAGGCCGCTGGGCCGTGTGTTATGCGGTGCTTCTACGGGTTGTGTCTATGGAAGCACCTAGAAGCTCTTAGCTGCTTCGGAGGTCTCCAAGTCGGATGCGAAATGCTGTGAGCCAAGCTGCAAGGAGTCCAAGGAGTTCCAATGCCGAGCAGGACGCATGCGTCCAGCAAGGGCCAAGGGCGCTCTCAACAAAGTGGGTTTCAGGGCCTAATGCACTGGTCCACGTGCAACGGAATGCCGACACGCATGCCAAGACAGACCAAGACCGGTCTGCCCGCAGGCTTTGCACAGCGGCCAAGTGCGGAGACCACGCCAGCAACAGGCCACGACACCTGCTGCGAGCGCAGCGCTCAGATGGCTCAGCCTTACTTCCAACAGCTGCTTGCTTCAGACATGTGTTTGCTCAGGCTGGTCAGTTTTTTCAGTGATTCGTAAGCACGCAGGGTTTCGCAGCAAACACACTTTTAGCAGCCTGTGGATGGCCCCTTTCCGGAGCCCCCCATCAGCGTCAGCGTCTGTATCTGAATCTAGGACCTAAAATCGTGGGCCACCGGCCTAACATGGCCTAACAACTGGGCGGCAGAAAAGAAGAGAGTCGCCAATTGGAGAAGCTTAAAACCTACAATGTTGGACGTGCTTTAGAGTTGCGATCCTTAACGTGCATCTGTGCGCCGCTCACAGAGTTTCAGGCCGGCATTGCTTAGCTTCAGAGTTGGCTGAATGCAGATGCCAACACACTTCCAGGCACCCCCCAATAATGTTCGCACGGTTCCGAGGGCTTGGGGAATCAGTGAAATGGAGCTGATCTGGTTCGGTTTAGGCCCTAACGAAACACATTGCAAACGAACTTCAAACATCGTGACCCGAGGTCGCAACTCTGTGCGGAATTCCGGAGCGACAGGGAGGAGGCAGAAATTTAATTCATTTCTATACTCGGGTTCCTCCTCGAGCTTTGCAATCTGAATCCAGTGTCCTCAGCTTTTAGTTCCTTGGTTAGGCTTCAGTATGGTTTAGTCTTTCCGCGCAAGGGCAGCATGCAGCATTTGCAGCATGGATTCTGGGGAGGTCTGCAGTAAGGCCTCATTTCTCTTTGGGCTTCGCGGCTTCACCCGCCCCAACGTCACCATCAACTCCAAGCACTGTCGGCGCAGCAAGTCATACCTATCAAGGGCCAGGCAAGGAACCGGAGTGGATCATGTAAGCCAACGCTTTGGTGTGCGTCACAGAACCGAAGCCCGTATCTACTAGACCGGCCCCACTCCGGGTAAGCTACGCCCTAGGGATCTAACGACATAAACCAGTAGATCTGAGTAGTTTAAGTTGAGTTTTCCCGTGTGAATTCGCATCGCACGCGCGGGCAGGGCGAAACACTTATACATGCACATTCCGAGTAGCACATGTGCATCTATATACGTACAGAGTAGACATGCCATGACAATGCAGAGGCAGGACTGGCGCGCACAATGTGTGTATCCCTGTGAATGTTTACCATTCTCATTCGTTCAGCTCAAATTTTGATGCATCAGCCAAGCAACTTATATCCTTCTCTACGTCCTCTTTCCCTGCGCCATTTCCCGCTGCCTCCATCTGTCCCTGCGTCCATCTCTCTTTCTTGTCATGGTGCGAGGGTGTGCTTCTGATTGCCGGCTTGCCTCGGCAAACATTGATAGTATCAAAGTGATGGTGGCCGGCGGGGTGGTCTTTGTAAAAGCTCGTTTTGGCCGCCCTGATCTTGGCTCTGCGGACTTTGAGCTTGAAGGCTTCAGGCTCAATGAAGCGGTCTTGCAACCCAATGGCGACCAGCACCTGACTTTTTTTCTGTGGCAGCTTCTTATTTGCCTCAGCCCCTTTCCGGCTTGGCATCTCTGCAATCTCTGCAGAGCCATGAGCGGCACCGCGGCACCACGTGTGGCTCACCAGTAGGCTCCAACAAGCATATTATATATATGCATATATATATACATCTATGTATAGTATGTAGAATAAGTATAAATATGTTATAATATGCCATCTCCACATGTACATGTGCCCCCTCCTTCGTAGCGAAAATCAAGTAGAAGACCATCAGACAGGCAGCTATCGAGAGGACAGCGAATGGAGTGCCGCAGGTATGATAGTCGTACGTACATGCGATATTCAGCTCGCAAAAAGTGGAAACCATACTACTTTCCATCCCCGTGCTGCTGGAGCGCCCGGCATGCGTGCGGGAAATCCGACATACTGCAAGATCAACCAGTTTCACGTGAAACCGCTGGGAACAAGCTCGCGGTGGCTCCACGAAGCGGCAGTGACGGTTAGTCAATAGTCAAGATGTGGCAAACGAAACAGCACAAACAACTTCCTGTTGCTCTCATTGTTCTCCTTGCAAGTGTGTGTTTGTTGAGCTGCAGGGCCCAAGACATTGGCACTTGCAAAGCTTATCGTAGTTGGCCTGTCTGGCAGCCCCATGCTTCACTAGCGATGTCGTAGTAAAACCTACCAGAACCTCATTTATTCATATTGTTCTGATCCCTTCTTCAGATATCTCTGTGAAGATGCGCGCGCCAATGCGCATTTGCTACGTGCGTGCCTCAATGATCAAGCAGAGAAATCGCAAGGAGAACATCTTGCCGGTGCATTTGCGGATGAATTATCACTGGCTTCCAAACTGTACAGCGGCCATCCCTGTGGCAGCTGATAATTCAATTGATAAGGACACAGCATGCTTCTGTTTGAGAATCCATTGACGAGAAAGTTCAATGACCGTCAAACTTTGACTGAGGCAGAGACATGAACTAGGCCTTTTGTGGTTGAGATGTGTCATGCTACGTAGCACCTGCAGGTGGAGTACTGCAACAGCGTCGTTAATGATGAGGCTGGGTTTAGCGTCAGCTTGGTGCATCGGCCGAGTAAAAGTCGAAGTCAGGTGAAGTGCAACAAATCCTATGACGTGCATAAGCTGAATCAGTCCTGGACTTACACTGGGAACAGGCTCAGCAGCCATGAAGGCATCAGGGCTGTCAGTTCCTGCGTTTGCATGGGAACGAGGGGAAGAATTATAGTGCGGCGGTGTAGGAAGACTTATACTGATACATGTACTTATACTAGGTAGCTCAGTGGCTCCGTAGGCCCAGCGCACGCTAGAGCACTCCGACTCTCCGACGAGTACTTCAGCAGCCATGAGCAGAACGACACTCCAAAGAAGGCTCCCAACGTTTGATTTCTTGCCGAATCATGTGAGCAGGCTTCAGGCAAGAGCTGCGAAGCATTCCACAAGCCGCGACACTTCGAGGCGAGTATCTGGAGTCTGGAGCGAGGGCGATGTTGGTGAGAGCGCGCTGTCCATGTTGAATTGCCGCCGGAAACCCGCGCACTAATCAACGTCTGGTAAGCGCGCGGCTTTACAGTTCGGAGCCGATTGAATCCGAGAGTCTTAAAGGAGTCTCCACATCAAGGCCGCAGAACCCGCGCACGCAGCACGACCACATCAGCCAGTAAGCTTTATTCTGAAGGCAAGTGTCAAGAAACTCTGCTGTGGTACTAGCAAACAATCTGGGGAACGCAGCAAGCAATCGAGTTGGTTGACTAGGGTTGTAGTCATGGTGCTGCAGCGTCAGCCCGTCCCAGGTCCGATGCACCCAAGTTCAGCGCAGCCCCTTGCAAATGGATGCTTGAATGAATTGAGATCTTGCTTCTCACATTTCGCAGGATCCATGTTCTACCTTTCCTGGGAAATTGCTGGCATGTGCGGGTTGTCAGGAGTGCAGAGGATGGCCTTTGCCACACAGATGATGCCTATAGGTCTCATTGCTGCACACGGAGCGTAAGCCTTGAGACTGTGTGAGAGAAGCTGTAATATGAATATTACTTTAATCGCAACAGCTTCAGTATCACAAATGGCAGCAGCTGGTTTCCGTCAACAAGACAGGCTGACAAACTGCGACCCGCTGAAGTGATTGCCACGAGGGCTGTTTCACCGATCCCTTGGCATCATGTCCGAGTTGTTGATCGTTTCGTTCAAGCGTCACACTGCGCTGCCTGTATTTGCTGCAGTGCTGGAAAACAGGACCGAAAGCTGCAGCTGTTGCGTTGAAGAGCATTGACAAGCTATGCCAAGTCAAGTGCAGTGGCAGCGATTGCATGCATCCGGTCGACTTCATTTCGCGATAAAGCATGTTTTGGACTGCCTGGGTTGGTAACGTGAAGCAGAAGCATGCAATCGCTGAGCACCGGTCAGCACTCAGAATGTGCCTAAGATTGGAGCTTGCGCTTGCCCACGTCAGCAGCCTCAGTGTGTGTGTGTGTGTTTGTGCAAACTCATCAAACAGCACGAAGTTGCCCTCAGTCAACTTCTGTCAAAGATGCTCCCTTCATGGTGGGAGTGTCCAGTTCCTTGCAGTTGCCCAGGAAGCAAGCATGGGTTTTGCTAGAGAAGTGGTCTCAGAAAAGTTCATTGGACTGCTAGGTGCGCAGTACCTCTACAGCCTCCTTGAGGCACTGCGTGTACTTGGCATGAGCAATGCAGGCACATGCTGTCAACATTGGAAATTCCCGCAGCTTTTGGGCTCCAAGTCTAGGCTTCCCGTTGCTGTCATGGATCCAGGCCCATTTTGTTGAGATTTGAGAGCCGTCATGATTCCCTTCCGCACTTCCGCTTGAATGATCCTCGTTTGCGTACTGTTTGAGACGGCGTTTTCTTCCATGAGATGCGGAACATTATCATGAGTATGCAGCAGGCCCTACAGGGAGTAAAGCGAAGTCACAGTCTCACCGAGCGGTGCCGTCTTCTGCTGTTCAACACGTGAGCTGAAAGGAGCTGGGCTTGCATGTCAGCGAGCAAGTTCGGGAAGGACACCAGAGCAGTACTCTGCAAGTCCATGGGACTGCCAAACCGTATTCAGTGTAAGGTGCATGCTTTTTGATTCCGCTCTTTATTATTGTAGTGCTTGGGCAACAACCCGACTGAAACCGGGAGACCCAAGCTTGGCGTGCGGTTGGCTGCGGGTCGATGAGGCTTGGTGCGGTGGTCGGGGACTGCGAAGGACCAGAGTGGTGCAAGTCTCACCCGAGGAGCACTGGGAAACTAGGGATATCACAGAATCGGCAAGTAACTAGGCCACCAGGTGGTTTGCTCAGGCAAATTTCTACAAACTCCCTGCAGAAGCAAGCTAGAAACACTGACGCATTCGCGAAATCCAACACAAAGACAACCACCACCAGAAGCAGCAGAAAAAGAAGACGAGCCCCCCCACCACCGCCACCGCCGCCAGCGCCGCCACCGCCAGCGACAGCGCCACCGCCGCCGCCGCCGCCGCCACCAGCACCAGCACCAGCACCAGCACCAGCACCAGCACCAGCACCAGCACCAGCACCAGCACCATCACCATCACCATCACCATCACCATCACCACCGCAAGAACGACGACGACGA